CTCCCCAATAGAAGCCAACACAGGGAGGGAGCAAACCTTACAATCCAATTCTGCTTCGAGGAAGGGATGAAAGACAGAGAACACTCCAGAACCAAATGAGTGTGCTATCTTTGAGAGACAGGGGTAAGACAAGGGAACAAGGGAGGTATACAGGGAGAATGACAAGTGGATTGACATGCATTTTGGCAGGGAAAACTGTGGTAAGCAACTCAGGACTGAACCATTAGGGAAGCCAAATGGGGTACATAGAACAAACCCTTACAAACTTATAACAAGGAATATTAAAACATACTACAGAAGAACAAACTGTAAAATAACAGACTACCACACTTGTGTTTTGTCAAGGGGCACTTCTTACCCCTTAACTGAAAGGGGGGGCGGTACTTGTGGTCCCTATTATTGTGGAGGGCAGTTCACAGTCTCTTGGGGATCAGGCACACACAGTAAGGAAAGCCCAAGGCCTCTCTGCAGGGATGACAGTGACTTTGAAACAGAGTTCATCAAGATTTCATCTTGGACTAAAAGAGGGAAAGGTAAATTACTTCATATGCATGGACTAAGCTTTTGACACCCAAGCGCTTCTCTTAACTTGAAAGAGAAGTAGCACCTGTTAGTGTTAAATTTGAGTGAACAACTGTTATGTGTTAAAAATTAGTGTTCACAGAGAAAGAAAAAAAGGTAGGAGGTGGCAAAAGGAAGGAGGAAAACAAAACATACCCCAAGCCATTGTTTTTCTCAAATCCAGGATTTTCTGTTTGGATGGAGCGGGGTGTAGAGTAGGTTTCTTTTGAGATTCAGGACTGAGAGGTCACATCTAGGAGTGTTGTCTAGTGAGAAATCCCTTCTCCCTGATCTGTACCAGGGTTGTTCTTTAGTTTTTTACATGGATGTTTAAAACTACATACATCCACTCCTCATTTGACTCACACCACTGCCAGTAGACATGGTCGAACTCAATTTCCCTTTCATTCCGCTCTATCACACAATACTTCAATAACTTTAGCCTTGTCCTTATCTCCAGTGTTGGGGTCATATTTCTACCAGGCTAGTTTTCTTCCCAGGGGGCTGTCAGGGGGTATACCTGTTGATATCTCTTCATTTACTTCTTCCCTCAGGGATTCCCTACTTGCTCCAAGTCTCATCCCCAACAGCCAACCATAGGGCCTCTCAACAAAGCCCGCCTCCCCAACAGCCAGAAGAGAAAGAAAAAGAAAAGAAAGAAAAAAAGGAAAAAGAACCTTGCCTCCCTCCAAGAAAAAAACAAAAGCAGACAAACAACCTGCCTGCAGTCCAGAGACACGCGTATAACTGGGCTAGACCCCCACCACCAGCAATGCTGCACACAACTACATTCAGCACTGCCGCCGCCTCAGCTGGGTCGGCTAGCACTGGAAGTTACTGTGCTGGGCCCCTGCTTGCCACTATCCATGTGGAATAGCCCCCCCACTGCGGTTCTTGAGCCCCCCGCACAACCAGGATAACCCCTGACTATTGGCAGCACCAGGCTTCACTGTGCCCAGCGCCCCTGGTTGCTGCCGTTCACGTGGACCCACTCCCACTTGTGGTCTGGAAACCCCTTGTCCTAGTTTGGAAAGCAAAACCAGTGAGAGGCTCTAAGTCAGAAATACAATTTATTAGGGAAAGGGAACAAAGAACCAAATATATACAATAGCACAAAAGAAGAACTACTGACAGAGTTAGAGATACAACCTGACACTTGCTGGCTAGGGCGGTGGTAGCAGATGTGGTTCTGTCCATGCAGTGGTCCTGTAGACTGATGTAGTTTCCCTCTGGAGGTCCAGTGTAGAGAAGGTCTCAGCTGTTCCTCTTAGAAGAGGGGATCTACTTGCTGTCTGCACAACCCCGCTTATATCCTTGATGGCATCATTTGGCTTCTCCCTTTGGGTGGAGCATTTCACAATAGAATGCTGTGATTTTATCAGTCATGTGGCTAAAAGAACTGGCCTTCCTGGAGGGACTTATCTCTGAGTCACAAGATAAGGGGAAAAAAAAAGGAATTGCAGCTTGAGGTGGTAATGGAATACACCCCAATATTATAACCTAGGACACCCCTACACAACTGGGCTGGTCCCTGACCACTAGCAGCACTGTATTTACAGCGCCCTTCCAGTTGCTGCCACCCACGTGGTGCCCCTGCAGTCCCTTGCCTGGAAACCCCACTACTGGGTTAGCCCTGCCAGGCACTACTATGCTTGGCACCTCTAAGTCACCACTGGCAGCCCTGCACAGGCGAGTGCCGACGCTCCTCTCCCCGACGCCCTTCCTCAGCCCCGGCTAGCTCTGGGGAGAGGTGCGGGCAGGTTTCTAGCACTTCCCGCTGGACCCTCGCAGGCTTTGGGAAGCGCTATCGGAGTTCCAGAGAGCAGCCAGCGACCCCACGGCAAATTATGAAGAGAGTCTTTCTCTGGGGGCGAATTCCATTTATTGTAATCCAACGGGGAATACAATAACTCGAAGGGGACCAGGCATGCTGCGCCGGGGTTTGCCAGAAAGGCGCGGGCAGGGCGGAACGCACTGGAGCCAGCCAGAAGAAAGTGCAAAACGAACCGCGCAAACAAACTAAATACGGAATGGGGGAAAACCGAACAGCCAATGGGGTAAAAACGCGGAGGGGTTCGAGGGTGGTGTGATACGGGGGTACATCCAATGAAGGATAGACAGGGGAAGGGTCCCAGGTCCTTTACCAATCACCCGGCGTCCCGGATGGAAGATTCTAGGTGGATGGGAAGGGACACCGAGTGACGGACAGGCATCTGGGGTAAACAGGGGGATGACTTAGCACTTTTGGGGATAACGGACACGCGGGGGAAAGGCGGGAAAACCCGGGGAGAAACCATTACAGAACCGGGGGTACATGGAACAAACCTATACATAATACAAATGTAATAAAACATAAAAAACACAACTCCACAGGCGAGCCTGCATCGCTGGGGTTTTACTGTGCCTAGCATGTCCGGTCACCACTTGCGTGGACTCCCACAGTCCCTGCCGCTACTGGTCCCCGGTGATCCCAGTCCCCATCAATCTAACACCCCCTAAATCCAGTACCGCTCTTTCACTCACATCCTGCCATTTGCAGTTCTCCTGCTTCCCTCTAACTCCATGTCCCGCCCTATATCTGCCCTTAAGCTCCGACGGACCAGGTACAGATCCCGTGCACAAGTGTACTACTGCCTGGAGCTGGGGTTTATGCTCTTGGATTACGGGTGATTAATCTGGCCAAACTAATTATAAGGATGGTGCCTTTTAAAATCAATTCTCCCAAGTCTCATTTGCACCTCAACCACACTCCCGGACTCCATTTCACTCACACCCAGGAACACTCATGGACTCCATTTCCCCCATGCACAATACTCACAATCCTCCAGATCTTTCCATCTGCAGATTTTTTTCAGGGAACCTTTTCTTCCCCCTCTTCTTTTTCATTATTTGGTCCTTTGTTGTAGCCAGGGTGTCGACCTGCAAATTATCGATGATCCCAGGAGAAGTCAATCGGGCCACCGAATTCAGTGGGGAGCACTTCCTGTTCAAAATCTAGGGCCATGGAGACAAGGTTTTCATCCTGGATCAAGTCCCCATTTGTGAGAAACAACCACTAAATTTAAAATTTTAAAGGTTTATTAAACCTTAACAAATACAACAAAGGACTGAATAAGGAAAAAGGACAGCACACTGAGAGTCTGTGACTGGCTGCCACAAGCTTGTCTACAAAATGACTGCTCCTCCTTTTATACCTGTGGGGTTGCATCAGGCAACCCTGGCCCCTCCAAAAGTCTGTCAGTCAACTCTTCTTTGCCGTCCATTGGTGGAGACTACTTTCTTGCAACTTGATTGGAAGTCAGGTGTTGTCATGCCGTTCCCCCTAGCAACAAGCTTTCCCCATTCTCAGCTGTCCCATGCAAGGGACACATGTACATGCCTTCCCTCTACATGTCCTGGGACAACCCAGGCTGTCCGGTGGCAACAATATGGGGGGGGGGGGCGGGGGGGGGGGAAGGAAACTATGGGGAGAACAGAGGACATCTAAACAACAAACCACAGCAACATAACCATACATTAATAAAATATCTTTTAACTCAATAATAACAAAATCAAATACTAAATTCTGGAATACCAAATAACCCACCCATAGTGCTGGAAAGTCCGCACATCTCATGTGGGCAGGGTTCCTAGAAAGAATGCTTTATTAACAGGTGGGGTTCTTACCTGTGTCCCAGGCTGGACTGGGGATCTGTGGTCTCCTTGAGGAAAGTCCCAGTGCTAGCATAAAGATCCAGAGATCCCGGGATCCAGGTCCCAGGCTGTCTTTCTTCTCTTTCAGATCAAGGAGGAGTAGTGTTTTGCAAAGCTTTCTTTTCCCAGGAAAGGGTTAAAAGTCTTGGGCTCCCAGGACTGCTGAGATCTCACAGCAGGCTGCCAAACTCCCACAGATGGGCACCTTCCTCCCCCCACCTTTGTCTTCTCTGCAGCAGTATGCCGGCATATGATAAAGTTTCCAGGTGGAATGGGGTCTCTCTTTCTCTCTCTCTCTCTCTGAGGGGGCTGCCTGGGACATCTCAGTGTTTCTCCACCCTTCTGACCTGTGGGGGGCCGGCCTGGTTCCATTCCCTTCACCCCCCTCTCTCTTTCTGGGGCTGCGGCCTACCTCAGCCACAGGCCGCATGGCTTCCCCTCCCTCGCCCAGCCTGTGGCTGGGCAGGGGAGGGTCTGCACTCTTCACTGACCCTGACTGGAACAGAAGAGAAAGTTCCCCTGGGAGTTCTCTGCTTTTAACCCCCTGTGTTCTCAGAGGCGTGTCCAATGCCGACAGTGGTCACTCCAAGTGTCAATATCCAAACCTGACCACTGATTGGTTTGACCCCTCCTTCCTGAGAAAACTCATTTCCATGTCAAACAACGACAGTTTTGTATCCCAACTGCCACAGGGCCACTTTTAAGTTACAGCAATAACTAAAACAAATGAACTACCACTAAAAGTATTTCTTTCTGTACATGATTTTTATTATTTGCATAATACAGCAGAGCATAGATGCTGGATAGAGTGATTATGTGCCATACCTAAGTATGAACTATCTGTACATGCTTGCATATCTGATAACTAAATTGAAAGAACAAATTTCAAGCAAAAGCTTGATTTTTTAAGTGAACTAAAAAACTAAGATTGAACACTGCAATAAAAATCATAAGTAGCATCTTGTGTACATATATATGAAGAGGCATTACAACACTAGTCCACACTATACTCGATTATATAAAAAACCACCACAAGTTTCATACATCACAAAACCCCCTTCCATTATAACACAGAAATTATTTTACCAGACAAGCATCAGTGAACTATACTGTCCTTTGTAGTTATTATACAAAGCTGTAGATAATGGAGCCCATGCAATATACCCAAGAACACTGCAGTCCTACACCGAAATACTATTAAAAATGATAAAGCAGCCTTCCAAGAGTGGTTCCAGCTCCCACTTAAGTCTACAGGAGTCATGTTGGGTATGATTCCCATACACAACAATTGTTACATTTAAAACTTTTTTTTTAACTGAAAAAAAACTCGTAATAGTTTTTGAACCCAGAATGTGCTGAATTTAAGAAGCACATGAATAATAAACTGCTGAAATACTTCTGCAACTTACACAGATGCATGTGTCATTTGACAGAGTTGCTGTGGTATGTCTAAAAATCCCACCTATAGGTTTTGTTTTCTAAGTCAATCTTAGCACAATATTGTGCTACACAACATTATTAGCTATGCAAGGAAAAGCAGACAACTGTTGCAGGACAGTTCTTAAATTTCTAACAGGACATTCCTTTGGAAAATTACTATAATTTTCATTATTCTAAAGTTGTTATCTGCTTTAAAATAGTTTTCTTCTCATACATATCTGATTTTTTTTCCCCATTTTTCTCATTGCAATTGATAAATTACTTTTTATTAAATATGGCACCAACACTCATCTTACTGGATGGTAGAGCCCTCTACATGTCTTATATTCTGCTGGAATACAATGAAGCATGGAAACTAAAAATAAAATAAGATTTCAAATGGATAGAAGTAGACCATCAGCCTTTCTGACATATCCTCCTCCCAAACAGGCACAGTCTTTGGTTAGTCATAAACACCTTGAACATCTCAAAAGGAAGATCTGCGGCAAACATTAAGTAAACATCTGTTTGGCACATGTGAACCAGAGCCTGTCTTCTGTGCATGTGTATTCCCATGCAGGTTCTAGCCATCCAATCATATTCTGAGGAGAGCATATACATTTTCAAGGACTGTATCTATCCAATTCTGCCTGTGACAAACACCCAAACATCGTGAAAAAACATTAAGACAGACAAGGCTAAAATGAAAACTTTGGAGAACAAAAGAAAATGGCCATGCATCTGCTCTTTAATGCTTTCATAGGGCATATTAAAATAAAACAAAAGTCAGTCTTTTCACAAATAGACTAGTTTATATTCTCTGGATTTTTTCAGCCACCACAACTGGATTCTCTTTCCTGATTTTTGCTGCAGCTTCTGCTTTGTAATCATATGGACAGTTATGCTTGTCAGAATAACGGTGAAGTCCACAAAATAAGTTTCCACATCGGCAATCAAACCCTGTATAAAGAAAAGGAAAAACAACATTACTAGGAGGCTTCAGACTTAAGAAAGCTGTAAATTAAGGTCTTAGCCAGTTCAAAGGGGGTATGTGCATCTTCTGTATCAAATAGATTAAGTGGAATTAATATTTTCAAATATTAACTCTATTAAGGGATCTAACATTATGGATTTTGTAACAGCAAGCAAAAATTCATTGCCTACAGATTTCAACAAATTTAATCTATGTCCTGGATTGAAAGATAATGTGTGTATTATATTTGCCATCTGTTAGAGGTAGGGCAGTTATCTTTTCTTAATTGGGCAGTTTTCTTTATCTTTTCCACAAACCAATCCTCCCTCTGGGAAATATCTTCTGTTAATGGGCCATTGAGTCGCACTGCATGACTGATAAAATTACATCAACCCATTGTGAGATGCTCTGCCCAGGGGGAGGAGCCAAGCATTCCTTCCTGGATATAATCAGAGATTTTGGGATACCAGAGCAGCCTTTTCCTACCGGATTCCCAGAGGAGCAGCTGTCTTCTCCACTGGATTCCCAGAGGAAGACTAGGCCCATCTACACCACTACTGCACCTTCAGAGGAAAACGATACCCTTCTAGAAGATTATTGCATCAACAGAACCACACCTGTCACTCCAGGAGGACTGCAGCCACCATTTCAATTGGACTGCTACCAACACCGTGATCCACAGGATGTAAGGTCATATTCTGACTCTGTCAGTAGGTGTTTTTTTTTTTGTTTGTTCTATTACATTTGTATTTTTAGTTTTCCTAGTAAAGAACTGTTATTCCTATTACCATATATTTGCCTCAGAGCCTTTTAATTTCAAAATTATAATAATTTGGAGGGAGGGGGTTTACATTTTCCATTTCAGGGGAGGCTTCTGCCTTCCTTAGCAGACACCTGTCTTTTCAAACCAAGACAATCTAGTAAGAGGCAACTAATAATATAAATCTATTCAATATTAACAAAGTACTATCATACCCGTAAGGCCAACCTTCTTTTTGCATGTGAAACATCTGTTCTTCTTTGGTTTAAGCAGTTCAGAAGCTTTCTCTTCACTCTGTGAAGTACTAGGTTGAGAAACTGATGGGCTTGGTTGAGTAACAACTGTTAAAGCAAGGAAAAGAAATAAAGGTTATTGTCTTCCTTTTCTTGACTTCACTAGCACATTTGTATTTATTAGCAGTGAAATCCCCTCTACTAAGACCCTGAAGTTTATTGCCTGAAGTGGTAAGTAGAATAGGTATTCTATTAACTTCCCTTTTGTCTCTAGAAAATACAGCATACCTAGTGTTATCACCTGTATACACCCATATAGGTCCGGTACACACAATATTAAAAGTAATGTGATCCAGTTTAAATTAATCTAAAACAAAACCAACACTTTCAAAGTTGTTAAACAGAGGGGATACTTGTGGAAAATAGTCAATAGGACCATATTTTAGAAACTAATGGCATTTACAGTAATGCTTTTTTTGTCATAGTACCAAGTTACTCTGCCATTATATTTGCAAAGTCAGATGATCTAAAACCTCAAACAGTACACTACCTAACATTCTTGAGCTTCAAACAACTGATTTTGTGATACACTTAGTATACTACTACAAGCCCCACAGCTCAAAAAAGCCCTTATTTCAGACACTTTTCTTCAGCAATTTAAAGAAAAAAGTACATGTTTACATTGGATATCAGTATCCTTGTACTACATTCAACCTTAATGATCAAGCAGTTTGAGTCAATGTGGCTTATTTTTCAATTGCCTTTGTCATGAACACTTTTGGCTACATTTCTCACTTTTTATCCAAGTTCTATGCAGGATAAAAATGGGTACTTCTGTGAACTTCTGTGGCTCAGTTAGTTTTCTTTGAAAAATTAAATTTTTTGTCAGTTGTTTTAAAAATCCTTTAAATACCCAAATTAGTGCAGAGTAAACACAAGGGAGATGTGTTTGTATACAAACTTTAATGCATACAACCCAGAGAGTCTGTCCATGTTCAGTTTTCCTGGACACTCAATTGTATGATTACATCTATTGTTTTAAAAAATAATGAGCAAACTATAAAATACACTCCAAAATTAATGATTGAGAATATATAGGTTTAAAGGATTCACTTGTAACCAACTTTATACCCACAAATATGATCTCTTAGTTGAGATCCTTTTAGATCAGTAAGCATTGCATTCTGAAAGTGGATTTTTTAAACATCATGAACCCCTTTATAGGTAACATTTTTATATCCTTACTATTAATACTCGCTCTTATAAGATTTTATTTGTATTATGTTCATATGCCTATTACTACTAACACAAAGCCTCACAGATCCAAGCCCCATTTCACAATTCACTGTAGAAGTGAACAAAGAGAGCCTCCAGTCAGTTCATATTTCAGATTGTAAACAAGATTCAGTAGTGACAAATTTTAGAGGCAACAAGGAACTTTCAGTGCTCATACCCAAAAAGCCTTATACAGGAAATCAGTATTTTCTTATGCAATATTATAGCTGTAAGTCCTAGGGAACAACTCAAGCTCTTTACTGACTTTATTTTTTAATATTATATAGATTCTTCTAGAAAGTGTAAAGAGTTCAGCATCAACACTATTTTGCTACTTCTGAGGACAACAGTACTATCCAGTCTTGGATATATAATGTTTTTTCCATACTTAAGCATGCTCTTAATAAAAAGCAAAGGTATGGCACTACAATCATAACTGTTATTAATACTTTTCAGAGTAATTTCAACAGCTGGTTTTTTTTAAGCAATTCCTTTGTCTTGAAAATTAATATTTTCAAAATTAACAGATATAACCTTTTGAACTCGTCTTTAAACCCCAAGGAAACTAGTGTTCAGTATTAGATATTCTAGTTGAAAGCCTATGAGCAAAAAAATCAAGTTAAAAACACTGACACCACAGTGTAAACCTGTTGGATACCACACACCTTAGCTGACAGGAATTAAGAAATTGATTAAACATCTCCCAAATCAAGCAGGATGATCAAGCTCCTTTTTGATGTTTTGTATTACCAGTCTGTTCAAAATGAAATGCTAGTTATAAGCTATGGCAGATGGAAAATGGAACCTTCCAATTCTCTGGTGTAGTGAGCAAGTGAGCAGCTGTGTGTGCTTAGCTGACTACCAGGGTTAAACCACAACAGACCATTTTGGCACCCAACAAACATCTTGAAGGCTTTGAGATAACAACAGACTTGACTGGAATGTGCTAGGTCAAAATTATAGCTGTTAGTGCTGTTTAACTAGTAATCAGATGGCTCCTGGCCTTGCTTGCCTGACTGCAAAATAAACTCTAGTGCTCATTAGTGGCTGCTTTTTGCTTTCACTGCTTATCGTCTTACTCTGCTGTTCCTGGTAACATTTTGATAACAGCAATGACCATGCATGCACATGGACAGGCAAATGGCAGGTGCATTGCTGCTGTCCTGGACAAGCTGGAACTCTGTGTGAACTCAAGTCAAAGGGACTGTGACCTGTGGATGAGTCCCTGTGGGAACAGGACACCCTGAAGCATCTGTGGCCATGATTGCATCTGTGCCAGAGCAGGTACACCTCTAAAGGGATTGTGGCTCAAGAAGTCCACACTGGAGAAGGTAATACCTTGAAGCATCTGTGGCTGTGGATAAGTCTGTAACACAGTAGGTACAATCCTGATGGGACTGTTGCTGTGGGTAAAGCCACACTGGAGCAGGTACATCTCTGAAAGGATTGTGGCCCATGAAAAAGGCCATGCTGTAACAGGTGCACCTCAAAGCAACTGTGGCTATGGATAAGTCTGTGCAGCAGAAGGTATACCCTAAAGAGACTGTGGCTTGTAGATGTCGTGGTTTGACACGGAAAAAGAATTTTTCTCGGAAGAAAGAGGTCAATTTGGATATTGACAAATTGAAGGTGGACACGCCTCTGAGAACACAGAGGGGTTAAAAGCAGAATTCCCAGGAGAATTCGCTCTCTTTGGTTCCGGTCAGTGTGCAGTGCAGACTGTCCCCTGCCTGGCGATGAGCTGGGTGGGGGAGGGGAGAGCCATGCAGCCTTTGGAGGGAGGCCCAAGGGTGGAGGGACTGGAACCAGGCTGGCCCCCTGCAGATGGAAGGGTGGAGAAATCTGGGATGTCTCTGTTCCCCCCCCAAGAGTCTCTCTCTCTCTCTCTCTCTCTCAAGAGACAGTGGCGGTTTGTCAGCAGTTCACCGCGGGGAAGGAGAAGAGCGGGGGGGCCGCAAGGTGCCCAGCTGCCTGTGGGAGTTGGAGCCTGGGCAGTGAGCCATCCTTGGGAGTTGGGACTTTTAACCCTTCCTTGAGAAATGAAAGCTTTGTGAAATTTTTCTCCTCCTTGGTTTGAAAGAGAGGAAGAGAGACAGCTTGGACCCTGGGATGTTAGAAGGAGAAATTCTAGGTGGGAGGAGATGATGGAGTGGCTTTTGGCTGGACTTTTTCTTGGTAGCCACAGACTGAACCAATCTTCTCCTCCAAGAGAGACTGTATTTTAGGAGGATGCCGGTGAGCCAAAGAGACCTGCTTCAACTGGGAAAAGACAGAAGTGGAGCGAACAGAGAAAAGTTAGGGAGGTTTGTGGTGGTGCCCCCTGTCTTCAGAGAAGAAGAAGAGAAGATCATCTCTGTTCTTGGACCCTCGGCCCCAGGGGAAAATGGGGGGGACTGTGGTGCCAAAAATGAAAAACTGAACTGTTGTTTTTTCCCCTCTTGGCAGGGAATCGTTGAAAGGAAAAATCCTAAAAGCAGTCTGTCCATCCATGCATTGGTTGTGAGAGCACTGTGCATGGAAAGGAGAGGGTCACCATTGGCAAACTTTTTTCTCCGGGCGGTGCCATGTGTGACATGGAAGCACAGGGTGTGGCAGCTGTCTTTCTTGGGGGGTCTGTGGCACAGGAGGGGCTCCTCTCTCCCTCGATGGACTGAGAATCAATTGTCTGGAGGATGGAAACCTGATTGGGGTCCAGGTTGTGTCTCACTGTGGTTTGTTGGAGTTGGGTGGTGGGAGGAGGAATGCTTTGGAAGGTTTTCATTTTTATATTTGTGTGTGGTTTTTTTCCTTTCTTTTTCCTTTTATAGTCGTATAGTAGTAGTAGCTTAATAAAGTTTTTTTTCCTTGTTATTTAGCTTGGGCCTGCTTTGCTCTGTTCTCAATCGCATTTCACAGCATTCAATTGAGAGATTGCATTTTCATGAGGACACTGGCATTGTGCCAGTGTCAAACCATGACAGTAGATAAAGCTCCACTTGGAGCAGGCACACTCCTAAGGGACTGAAGTCCATGAATAAATTCAAGTCAGACCAGGGGCAAGGGGAAGAGTTTATTGTAATATTACATCCTATTGCCTGGTACAAAGGGATCAAGGGTAGAGATTGTAATGGCTATGCCTTTAAACTGTTGTAATCTGGGTTTGGAATTACATGTTATAGGATGTACTTATAGCAGGAACCACCTGAAACTATGGAGGAAAAACCTCATAAGAAGCAGTGCAAGTGCAGCAGTGACCAGATTTGAGCTCACTGATCCATCAAGACAAAGAGATAGTGCATTAGATAATATTGTGTCACAATACAAAGATTAAAAACAAATCCATCTAAGGGAAAATGTTACCAACTACTAAAAATATACTTACTTCCTCCTCTACATAAATATACTGACCCTGAGATTAGCTTAGTTGGTAAGAGCATGGTGCTAGTAACACCAAGGTGACAGGTTTGATCCCTCTGTGGGCCATTCACCTAAAAGCTGGACTTGAAATCCTTGTGGGTCCCTTCCAACTCATAATATTCTGTGAACTCTGTGAAAATGACAGGTGTTCGCTGCCACAACCAGCAACCTGGGAACTAGGAAGCAATGATGATAATCCAAAGCGCAAAGGCCCATTTCCAAAAAGAGGTGCCAAACAGGATCCTTCCTCCACAACTAAAACACTTTCCAAAAACAAAAAGCAGGTAACATGCAGAAATGGGCAACTAAAAAGTCCCAACACAAGGAGATTTAACAGGTTCCTCTAAATCAGAATTGTTCAATTTATTACTTGACACAGATAACACCTGCAAAAAGTAGGCATCCACCCACTTTTATGCCAGCAGGGTTAAATCTAA